TTTTATATATTAGATTCTCTGTGCTCAGGAGCTTTCCTTTAAAGGAGTTGCAAAGTCCCAGCATATACTATCCTGTTATAACATCAGCATTATAAGAGGAATACATTCTAGAGTTGTTTTTGATAATGCAATCAAAGCTTACTTGAAAAAAATCCCTTTTATGTAGCCAGCGCTGCCTTCTCTCTGCCCATCATTTGCAACACCTTCCTGGATTCCCAGGAAGATGTTCTTTGTGTCTTTTCCTGCTGCTTAATGTGATTCAATCTTGATTTATCAAGACTACGTAGCCCATAATGCATTACTTCCAGCAAGCATTGATAATGTAACATTGTTCAGACGTTGAGTAGTATAGAGGTTCTACTGTCTTCACTTTTACGGATGCACTCATTTCACGGTTTGGATACGAGGAGTGCATCACAGCCGTGTTTGGGGAAGCATTATTAGACCTTTCTTAGAAGGTCAATGGGGGGGGTACAAGAAATACTGCACTTGAAAAGCACATATTGGTTATTGTTGGATACTACAGATTTTGTTGAGCATAAAACGTATCTGCGGTGGATGAGAAATGATCATTGCTAATACAAAAACTTGAAAGTTCACTTTGGTCTGGAATGTACTGATTGCACTTTGCACATTATGCAAAGTGGATAACAACCTGGTTGCAATTGGTTACCATTAATCAAATGTTTTGGGTTGCACTACTAACTGAAAGTTAAAAAAATGTTTGATTGCACTATATACAAAGTTGTTAAAAATCTGGTTGCTATTGATTACCACTTACTGATAATTCACAATTTACTTGGATTGCAGTTTGCACATTGAGTGCTTTTTTGATATATTTATGTATTCATTTGTAGCTTATTGAGGATGTATTAAGGATATATCACCTGTTTTTTTAAACAGAATTGTTGTTTTTATTATCGATATGAGATTGTTTGCTGATTTTTACACACATTTTACACATATTTATTATTTGGTACTTGTAGCGCTGTGCATATTTATTGATTGTTCACCCCATGGTTTGCAAATTCTGATAATTTTCTCTAAAATGCAGTAGATTTATCTTTTGCAATGGTTTTTTTTTATACATAGAATGTTGCAATCAAGGATGTTGCGGCAGTCAGCTTATCCTAAAAAAGGATTGGGAAGCACAAATAAATGATTACGGTCCAGTTAATTAACCATGTGTCGTAGCTTTTTAATGGCCTAGCAAAGTGTGCCTCTTCCTTGAACAGTTAAAGCTGAACTCCAGGTATAACTTTTTATGCATCTTTACATTGGTCCAACTTGATGAGGGGCGGATTGTGACAACAAAACAAATGGCAAACGCACTCATCAATTTGTTACCAGCACTAAGCAAGGTGCACATGGAAGGGCTTTATACAGTAAAAGAGCAAAAGGTTTCCAGTTTTCCTCTGTTTTTAACCTTAGCGGTGAGACAAGTTTTTTTGCATGCTGGCTGGTGAGTGTGCTGGGAAACTTTTTGCTGTTTTACTGTATAAAACCCTTCCATGTACACCTTGCTTAGAGCTGGTAACCAGGGGCGTCCCAAGGCTGGGTGACACCCGGAGCGGTAACCGAGTGTCACCCCGCCGAGACGTCACTGCACATGCCCGTGACGTCACCACGCGCATGCGCGATGACGTCATCGCGCGGTAGTATTCTGATACCTGCCGGCGGCCATCTTGGTGATGGACACCGGCAGAGAGAGGAGGGGACAGTCACCCGGCGGGATAAGGTATGCCGCCGGGTCCCCTCCTCTCTCCTGATACTGTCGGGCGTTCGGTCCATGACCGAGCGCCCGACTTTTCAGAGGGGGGTGACACCAAAATGACTAAGTCATTTTGATGTCACCCCTCCAATGGTGGCACCCGGGTGCGGGCCGCACCCCCCGCACCCCCCTTGTGACGCCACTGCTGGTAACAAATTGATGAGTGCGTTTGCCATATGTTTTTCTTGACTGATTTGGTGCAGTGACGCAAGGGGGGTCTAAGCTGCCATTGTGATGTGCGGGGTCCCTTGTGCGTCACTTTACCTTTAAGGAGGTTGGGCTTCCTCCTGACAAAGCTGCACCCAATTTTATCTTTTGCTACATGTGATCCAAGATGGAGACTCTCATAGTTTAGAGTTAGGACCGCGCTATATAGAGGTGCCTTGGCGAGGCGGTGCATTTTTTTTGCATGCTGGCTGGTGAGTGTGCTGGGAAACTTTTTGCTGTTTTGTTGGATTGTGACAACACCCCCGCTTGTCCAATCAAAGAAGGCCTTGTATTCTTTGTTATCTGTTATCTCCCATGATGGACTACAAAATCACATTTAGTTTAATAATTTGTATTGAGATTGTAGTCCACCAAGGGAGTGAGTTTGGAGTGGTGGCTACTTTACAGCACACACAGGGACCATGGGAAAAAAGTAGGCACTGTCCAGAAGGAAGGACAGTGTCAGCACCAATTCAGAAATTATTTAAAAGATCTACAGCTGCGCAATGAGCAAAAAAAAGTTACATTTTTGTTAATTGGGTACTTAAATGCATTTTTAAGATTTAACTGCTGAGTTTAGTGTCACTTTAAACATACTAGACGTTCTCTGAATTACCATTGTGCCAAAGATCTCTGTCAAGCACTGTAGTAGTTCCGGCAACAACAGAGGTTTACAGAATTCCAAGTGACTGATCAGATATGACGAATGTACATTTACATTGGACAAGCTTTTAAAACACGATGGGGTCAGGCACTTTAGAAGCACAGGGGGGTCAGAAGCTTTGAAAGTACAGTGAGGTCAGAAGCTTTGGAAGAACAGGGGGATCAGAAGTTTTAAAAGCACAGTGGGGTCAGAAGCTTTGGAAGTACAGTGGGGTAAGAAGCTTTGAAAGCATGGTGGGATCAGAAGCTTTGAAAGCACATTTAGGTCAAATGCTTTGGAAGCACAGCAGGGCCAGAAGCTTTGGAACTACAGTGGGGTCAGAAGCTTTGGAAGTACAGTGGGGTAAGGAGCTTTGGAAGTACAGTGGTTTCACAAGATTTGGAAGAACTGTGGGATCAGAAGTTTTAAAAGCATGGTGGGGTCAGAAGCTTTGGAAGCATGGTGGGGGTCATAAGCTTTGGAAGTACAGTGGGGTCAGAAGCTTTGGAAGTACAGTAGGGTCAGAAGCTTTGGAAGTACAGTGGAGTCAGAAGCTTCGGAAGTACAGTGGTTTCAGAAACTTTGGAAGCACGGTGGGGTCAGACGCTTTGGAAGCACAGTGGGGTCAGACACTTTGGAAGCACGGTGGGGTCAGAAGCTTTGGAAGTAGAGTGGGGTCAGAAGCTTTGGATGCACAGTGGGGTCAGAAGCTTTGGATGCACAGTGGGGTCAGGAGCTTTGGATGCACAGTGGGGTCAGACACTTTGGAAGCACAGTGGGGCCAGAAGCTTTGGAAGAACAGTGGGGTCAGAAGCTTTGGAAGGACAGTGGGGTCAGACACTTTGGAAGCACAGTGGGGTCAGAAGCTTTGGAAGCACAGTGGGGTCAGATGCTTTGGAAGCACAGTGGGGTCAGACGCTTTGGAAGCACAGTGGGGTCAGACACTTTGGAAGCACAGTGGGGTCAGAAGCTTTGGAAGCACAGTGGGGTCAGAAGCTTTGGAAGCACAGTGGGGCCAGAAGCTTTGGAAGCACAGTGGGGTCAGAAGCTTTGGAAGCACAGTGTGTTCAGACACTTTGGAAGCACAGTGGTGTCAGAAGGTTTGGAAGGACAGTGGGGTCAGACACTTTGGAAGCACAGTGGGATCAGAAGCTTTGAAAGCACATTTGGGTCAGAAGCTTTGGAAGCACAGTGGGATCAGAAGCTTTGGAAGCATGGTGGTGCATAATAACACTCTGTCATAGAGCTGTACATTGTGGCACTGAATAAACTTCATATACATCAAACAAGTTTGCTGGTCATTCAATTCAATTTAACTTGGCAATCTGGAATGTAAAATATGAATAATTTCAGTAATGTGGTGATGTTAGCACACCAAAGATGGCTGTATGTTACATTGTCTCACTCCGCATTTTCAAAGCTCTATATCCATAAATTAGTATACATAATATACATAATTACAATATGACACCATCTTTCTACAGACCTCTGCATTTCCTTAATTGCGTTGTATGACTTATGTTAACAGTCTTTTTATATTTGCAAGAATTAAATGCCATCATGTTGTTACAGTAGGGTGACCAGATTTTTTAAATTAAATCCGGGGACATTTTAAAAAAAATGGCAAATGGTATAAAAAACGAGTTTAGCATATTTTCCTCAAATTATATATGCAGTGTATTTGGTATGTGTGGTATATGGAGTGACTGCATGATATATACAGGTGAAACTCGAATAATTAGAATATCGTTCAAAAGTAATTGCAGTAATTGCTGCAAAAGGGGCCCAAACCAAGTACTGAGTACATATGCATGCTTGTACTTTTCAGAGGTCCGATATTGTTCTATGTACAATCCTTGTTTTATTGATTGCATGTAATAATCTACTTTTTTGAGGTTGTGGATTTGGGGTTCTTGGGGTTTTCATGAGCTGTAAGCCATAATCATCACAATTATGACAAATCACGGCTTGAATTATCTTGCTTTGCATGTAATGAGTCTCTCTCATATATTAGTTTCACCTTTTAAGATGCATTAGTGAAAAAAAATGAGCTTTGCACGATATTCTAATTATTCGAGTTTCACCTGTATATATAACTTATTACTCACATTTCGTCTTGAGCTCACACAAGCTGACGTGCTGGAGTGAAAATGACATGACACACTGCACGCAAAGGCAGCACGCCACTGCTCCACGCTGCTTCGCGTGCAGTTCGTCACATCCTTTAGACTGCCAAAGATTTTTGGACAGTGTTAAAATCTCTACATGTTATTAATAAAACAATATTCCGCGCTCAGGGTTCCTATAACTAAGTGGAGATATTAAGCTGCTATGCTCCGAGCGTATTCACTCTTCAATGATATGTAAACTTTCATGCACAGCACTAAATATTCCCAAAAAAATATTATATATGTGCAAATTCAGGTGAAAAAGTAAATATACAGTAAAAGACGTTTTGGTGCCTTCTATAAGCACCAAAACGATCCCAATAGTTATAATGATATGCAAAACAATATTAAAAATAAATACATTTTTTTCATCAATGTGTTGCTCTAATCAGTAAAATTTATGAAAAGATGCGTGAGCTCTTAAAGTGCATCAAATGTGACCAATATTATTCCAATTAATATAGAACATCCGTGCAATATATAAAAAGCTTCACAGCTTGTTCACAGTGCGTTCCAGAGTGGTAGCTGCTGAAACGCACTGTAATTGCATACTAAACTCCCTCCTTCCTTCTGGGGCGGGAGGGTGCGTGGCGGTGCATTGAAGTCAATGGCACCGCAGCCACTTCCCCCACCCACAGAGCGATAGGACGCAAGGCAAAACATTACCTACGTTCCGTTCCACTGCGAACGCAAAAAAATGCTGCATGCTCTACTTTTTGCGTTCGCGGTGGACCATAACGCAGGCAATATTTTGCCACGCGCTCTAATCGCACTGCGGGCGGGGCTGCGGTGCCATTGACTTATAATGGTGTGCTGCCTTGTATGTGCGCAGTAATTATGTAACTACCAAAGAAGGCTTTCAGTTGTTGCTGGTAAAATTATCATTTTCAATTGCTTTACATAATTACTTGTGATTGCACAAACATTCGGATTCTTTGTGGCCATAAATATATCCTCATCTCCTGTATACTGCCAAACAAACTGGCTCTGACTGTGTGTTTCTGATCCTACTGAGTACTATTATGCATGCCCTCACTGCATATCTGCTCTGACCACATCTCTCCTGTGACTGCATGTATCTGCTCTCAACATACATGTCTGCTCTGACCACTTCTGTTTTTTTTTATGGCAGTAGGGATGAAGAGGGTATATGGTAGTTAGTTTGTGGAGGTAGGTAGGCAACTTTCTTGTCCTAGGCCCTTTTGGAGGGTCTGTATCAAAATGTGAGGGAATGTTGGAGGATAAAACGGTACTCCAATGTAGAGTTGTTTTTAGTTTTTTTTCTTACAATGTTTTTTTTATATTGTTTTTCACAAATAAAATGCATGTCAAACAGTGGAGAAGAGTTTATCTGCCAACCTTCCTTCACACTTTTCTGCTTTGACTGGTGATTAGAGCTGCAGCTAACGATTATTTTCAAAATCGATTAGTTAGCCGATTATTAAGTTCGATTAATCGGTTAATCGGATAGAAAATAAAATACATTTTTAAAAATGGCTCCGGTACAATAATCGATTATAATCGATTATGTCGATTAGTTGTTGCAGCCCTACTGGTGATGACTGATTTTAATGCGTGCGCCTGCTCTCACTGCTTTTATCTGCTCTCATTGGGTATATTTTATCTAACTTCGCATGTTTTGACTGCAGTGTCTCATTGTGTGGGTATGTGCTCTAAACACATGTGTCTGCTCTCATTATGTGGGTATGTGCTCTAAACACGTGTGTCTGCTCTCATTGTGTGGATATGTGCTATGAAAGCATGTGTCTGCTCTCATTGTGTGGGTATGTGCTATGGATGCATGTGTCTGCTCTCATTGTGTGGGTATGTGCTCTGAACACGTGTCTGTTCTCACTGCATATGTCTTTTCAGACTGTGTGCGTAGTGGCAGACCTAAGGAACAAAGGGCCCTGGTGCAAGATTTTTTCTCAGGGCCCCCCCTTCCTGTTACCAAAGGGGGTGCCTGAACTGGATCTCACTGGCCCCCTAACCCCTCCCAGCTCTCTCTGCACTAAAGGAGCTTACACTCTAATGCCCCCCCACAGTCACACACTATTATTTTACATTCATATAGCTCTGACGTATACCGCAGTACTTTAGAGAGGACACTGAACCAGTCACAGCAGTCTCTGTACAGAGAAGCTTACACTCTAATGCAGAATGCCATCATCTGTAGAGGACTACAAATCCCTGCAATACATTATAAATCAATGCAGAATAATAGTATATGAATTTGGTACATACTCTGTGCTGCCACTTTACTCTGGAATTCTGGCCTGATGTCTTGTGCAGAGGGTCTCAGGAGGGGTGCTGAGGGTCTCAGGATGGGGAGATGTGCGGGCGGCAAACGCGCTGTAAGCAGGTGCCTGGTGGTTCCACAGAAGGCTGCTGTGCAGGACCTAACACACCTGAATCAATTTTAAAAATTTAATTTCCAAGCTGCAGAGGTCAGTTGTAAGGCAGAGTGCAGAGGTCAGGGTGTGACGCAGAGGTCAGGGCGTGATACAGAGCGCAGAGGTCAGGGTGTGATACAGAGCGCAGAGGTCAGGGTGTGACGTAGAGCGCAGAGGTTAGTTTTAAGGAAGAGCGCAGAGGTCAGGGTGTGAAGCAGAGCGCAGAGGTCAGGGTGTGACGCAGAGGTCAGGGTGTGACGCACAGTGCAGAGGTCAGGGTGTGACGCAGAGGTCAGGGTGTGACGCAGAAGTCAGGGTGTGACACAGAGGTTAGGGTGTGGCATAGAGCACAGAGGTTAAGGGGGGTGCGTAGAGCGCAGAGGTTAGGGTGTGACGCAGAGCTCAGAGGTCAGGGTGTGACGCAGAGCGCAGAGGTCAGGGTGTGACGCAGAGGTCAGGGTGTGGCGCAGAGGTCAGGGTGTGGCGCAGAGGTCTGGGTGTGATGCAGTGCGCAGAGGTCAGGGTGGGACGCAGAGGTCAGCAGATGTGACGCAGAGGTCAGCAGATGTGATGCAGAGTGAATAAAAACATACAGTGCCCACAGATGGAACCAATCAGCTTCTTTTGGGAGCAGTTGTCCATGGAACCAATCAGCTTCTATCGGGAGCAGTTGGCCATGGAACCAATTAGCTTCTATCCGGAGCAGTTGGCCATGGAACCAATCAGCTTCTATCTTTCATTTTCAAAGCTTAGATTCTGCCTGCTCCAGTTTTGATAAATTCCCACCAATGTACTTACTTACAACCAATCACTGCCATTAACACTTAGCATGCCATCAGCGTAGCCTTATATGATTTAGTGTGGTAAATATTATGTTGTGGTAGGTTCAGACTCCTCTTCATCCAAACAAACATTTCAGAGTGAAAGTAACCATTAAACAAAATGTGAATTAACCATAAGCTTTGTATGGATGGGTCTTTGAGGTCCTGTTGTAGTCTAAATCAGATGCTCTGTATGAATAATATTGCTTTTTTTTATATCCAACCTCTGAATGTGCTAAAACTGATGTTTTTTTTACAGGTTGGAGAACTTGTCCTTCTGGTGTGCTCGGCTTTAACAGCAGAATTCAAGGATGTTGTCTGTGAACTCAGATGGCAAGGTTTTGGTCCGAAGATGTTTCCTAACGCTCAGGCCCTTCCGGTAGGAAACTTGATTTTATCATTCCAACTGCTTTTGTTAATCTAGTCATAACAATTAAGTATTTTGGGTCAGATCCTCTTTAAAAAAACTGCAGTTATCCTAGAGGTACAAAACATTCTGTGTTAGCATCTGAACATACTCAGGTAACCCACACACTAGTTTGGACACTTGGTGAAAGTGCTGGAGGTTGGGAGCTCATTCTTCATCTTACTACTGGGCAGTATGGATTCATCATCATAGTGAATGGCCAGTAGAAACAAGCAGTAAGGGAGTTTTGTAACAAGCTTGTTACAGTAGCTTTGATTTTGGGGTTAACCTGGCACTGGAGGGTTCACGTAAAGGTATATACATTGTGCTACAACAACTTAGTCATTGCCTTAAAGGGTATATCCAACCAAAAATCTAAATTTTCCTGTGCTCATTACTAGGGATGCACCGATACCAATACTAGTATCGGTATCAAGTATTTGGCCGAGTACTTGTCCAAATGCTCCGATGCCTAGCACTATACTTGCGCTTCCGGTATCAGGAAGCCAGGCAGCGAGTCATTACACGTTGCCTGGCTTCCTGATTGGCTCGAAGCCGGCTCCATGCTCCCTCGTCACTTGTGGTCAATCAGGAAGCCGGACGGCTGCTTATTACACGCCCCCTGGCTTTCTGATTGGCCAGAAAGCCAGCTTCATGCTACCTCGTCACCTAGTGACGAGGGAGCATAGAGCTGGCTTCCCGGCCAATCAGACACGATGCCCGACTTCCTGATTGGCCAGAAAGCCAGCTCCATGCTTTCTCGTCACCTGGTGATGAAGAGGCATGGAGATGGCTTCCCAGCTAATCAGGAAGCCACGTGGCGAGGTTTGGCTTTACTTCTCTTGTAATATTTGCGTGTCACTCTTCTTCTCCTATACGCTTTAAAATTATTTCAATCCTACTTGTATTCCACTAGGGAGTGCATATACGAAGTTACATTTTCCAAAATGTATTAGCAAATGAGATTGTCATGGCAAATACAATTTTTTAATTTTTTTATATTTTTTGTTATTGCAAAAGTCATTTTTTATTTGAAAGAATTCCCAATCTGTTTTATCTAAGCCTTACAGTGCATTTTCACTTTTGCAGTCAAAATCAAGAAAAGCCACACTATATGTTTCTTCTGTTCCAATTCACGCAACATATTTAAACAATAACTTTAAAAAAATACTGTTTGCCTTTTAAATGTGTCTTTGTAGCCTTTGAAAGCTTCTCCCTCAGGTTCAGTAACCGCAAACTCTGACTGTCCCTAATAGAAGGACCAGGGACAGACTGAGCTTCCTCTCATTAACATACAATGCTTCTAGATATTTAACACCTAGTTACATCATACAGTGTTCAAATCTAGCTTCCAACCGATAATAAGATCTGCCAGCACAGTACAGACATATTCATTATGTTAACAATGATTTCCCTACCTCCCTTGCATTTCAGATTGAAATTCGGTACAGAGATCAACTTTTCTTTCAGAATTGAGCAAGTTTTGTGCAATCCACATTTTTTTTTTAAATTTATGTTTAAGTTATGCTATGTGAATAAGAAACATGTAACAAATATAACATACTGTACTAGGTGTTATGCCAATTTGGCTGCAAACGTAGAAATACACTTTAAATAATATTTGAATGTATGGGTATTTCTCTGCTTTGCTTGTTACAGTTGGTAACATATTAAATGTTATAGTTTTAGGCAACAATCAATTAACAAGTTCTATTTGTGTAACTCTATATATAAAAACTTTGAAAACAGTGTGTAGTAATACAGTCCTTAGCAAAAGCATAAGCCTGTGTTTTTAATCACTGTGCTTTGCTCCATGGACTGTTGAGCATGCCAACTGGAGGAGAAATGACAGACTGTTACTGAAAGTGATGAAATATATGTCACTTCCTGTTTCAGGTACTGGAAAAAATTGTGGCAAAAAAAATCAGATCTCCTTCGAGTGTCTAATTTTCAAAAACAGGTCATTTAAGGGATTTTCATACTGCCCTGACATTTTTATTTGTCATGTTTTATGACAGAAAGTAAGGGAAGCAGGTTCTTTTTTCACATTTTATTTCCTTCATGAAAAGCAGTTATTAAATACCACCAAAAGAAAGCTCTAGCTGTTTCAAAAATTGATATAAAATGAATTTGGTTACAGTATTGTGTGATGGAGTACTGTATTTCTCAGTCAAACTTTCACAGCACTGAAAACTGGCCTTGTAATGAAGGAGGCATAACACGCCACTATTGAAGTTGTTGAAGTACAGAAACATTGACACATGCATTAAAGGCCACTTGGTTCAGATTAAAGTTGAAATGAACACAGTAGCTTGGTGTCACAGCCCTGAAGTGATGTTGACCCTGAAAAATTGTATGGCCTCAATCCTGAAGTAATATAGTGCTATGACCCTGAAGTACTGTAGTGCTATTAAAATTAAGTACTGCATTGTCTCAGTAATGTAGTGCCTCAACCCTCAAGTACCGTAGTTCCACAACCCTAAAATAATGTAGTGCCTCATTCCTGTAGCAATGCAGTCCTTTAGTTCTAAAGCAGTGCAGTGCCTCATTCCTGAAGTAGTATGTAGCACTACACCCATGCAGTAATGTATTGCCTCATCCCTGATGTAGTGTTGTACCACAGCCCTAAAGAAGCATAGTTCTGCGAACCTGAAATAATTTTGTGCTGCAGCCCTGAAGTAGTGTAGTCCACAGCTCTGAAGTGGTGTAATGACACAGACTGGAAAATATAGTAGTGTAGCCCTGGGGTATTGCCATGCCACAGCCTTGAAATGGTGTAATGCCACAGCTCAGGAGAAATATAGTACTGCAGCCCTGAAGTACTATCATGCCACAACCCTCAAGTGGTATGTAGTGCCTCCACCATGATGTCATGTATGCATCATCCCTGAAGGAGTAACTAGTACCACAGCCCTGATGTAGTGTAGTGCCACAGCCCTGGACTTTTGTATCACATCAAAAGTAATGTATTACCAAAGACTTGACGTAATGTGGAACCTTATATGCAATGTGATACCAAATTTGTGAATTACTGTGATATGTTTAATTAATGTGATACCACATCCCTGGAGTATTGTAGCACATCAAAAGTAGTGTTTTCCCAAAGGCTTGAAGGAGTTTGAAACCTTGAATGTAGTGGGGCACCAAAGCCCTGAAATATTGTTGCACATCAAAAATGAGTGTAGTACCACAGGCTTAAAGTAGTGTGGAACCTTGGATGTAGTGTGGTACCACAACCCTGACGTATTTCAGCTCATCAAAAGTAGTGTAGTACCACAGGCTTGAAGTAGTGTGGAACCTTGGATGTAGTGTAGTACCACAGCCCTGAAGTATTTCAGCTCATCAAAAGTAGTGTAGTAGCACAGGCTTGAAACAGCGTGGAAACTTGAATGTAGTGTGGTACTAAAGCCTTGAAGTGTTGTAGCACATAAAAGTAGTGTATTCACACAGGCTTGAAGTAGTTTGGAACCTTGAATGTAGTGTGGTTCCAAAGCCCTGAAGTATGTAGCACATCAAAAGTAGTGTATTCACGCAGGCTTCAAGTAGTTTGGAACCTTGAATGTAGTGTGGTTCCAAAGCCCTGAAGTATGTAGCACATCAAAAGTAGTGTATTCACACAGGCTTTAAATACTGTGGAACCTTGGATGTAGTGTGGTAGCACAGCCCTGAAGTATTGTAGCACATCAAAAGTAGTGTAGTACCACAGGCTTTAAATAGTGGGGAACCTTGGATGTAGTGTGATACCACAGCCCTGGAGTATTGTAGCACATCAAAAGTAGTGAAGTACCACAGGCTTGAAGTAGTGTGGAGCCTTGGATGTAGTGTGATACCACAACCCTGAAGTATTGTAGAACCTCAGAAATGGTAAGGTACAACAGTCGTGAAGTAGCATAGTACCACATCCCTGAAGTAGTATTGGGGAACTGACTTCCGACACTTTGCACATATCTGCTTTGGCAGGTGCCCTTGCAGTAGAAGTATGAATCATGAGACTGCAAGGATGTGTCATCCCTGCAAGAGAAAAGTCAGGTGCATGCACATATTACATTTGCACATGAGGAATCCTTTTTTTCTGTAGTCTACTTGTGCCAGCGTGCAGTCCTTTTTCTGTTCTTTTATCTCCATGTATGCCCCAGTGTGGCCAGATTTGTTTGACAAGCATTTCACAATTAAAGATCCCAGAATATATTCTCTGCTCTGCAATCTGACTAGACGTTTAATAAATAGCTGAATGCAGACACTTTTATCCTCCTAATTTTCTCATTATACGTCCAGAATACATCAAGCGTATGGCTAATCAATTTTCACTTTCTATTTCTACCATTAAGGTGCATAGTTGCAGTTGTATAGTATTTATTGGCAATGTGAGAAAAGCAGTTGATACGGCTCACTGCAGATGTTAGTCAGCGTACCTCATTAACTGTAATGTCTTATTATTAGAAACTTAAAGGATCAGTAAACCTTAAATGCAACATTGTGTTGAAATAGTGTATATCAGTCATGAATATGTGCGCATAATCCCCCCATATCTTTACAACCAACAAGCTGTTTGGTATTTTGTTTACGCTTGCTATGAAGCTAAGTGGAGCCTAATGTTCTATGTCAGCAACCCTCCTACCGTACTGTACTAAAGTCGGCCTGCATTGTTCTCCAGCGGGACTCTGTAGACAAGAAGGCAGTGGTATGAAAAATGCAACCCTGCTTATCATAATGCATTTCTACACTTTCCATAATCACACCACTGTTAGAATTTGGCCATTTGTAGAGGTCCATTACCTTTCTGCTATGGTGTGTAACAGAACCTTCTGCCTAAGTCATATGCGGACATTTCGAACAAGGCAAGTCCCCTCAACACATTGGTTCCGTAAAGTGGGCCTCATGTTACAATATCATTGTGGATTTAAAAGCGGCCAGATTTATATGTCCTGCCCCACCTGTCAACTGTTTTATGCCATACCCTCTCCTACCCCAGGCAACTGATTAACATCACTCTGACAATATTTGTTATCATAGCCATTAAAGGCTTGCTGAAGCTGGGGATAGGAAGGCTGAAGGAGACCAGTCTGCATCAATATACCTACTTACGACAAGTAGAAGAGTAGGGCAAACTGTCACACAACTGTATGAGCAGTTCTTTTGTAGGTGTTTGGAACCAGAGTAGGGGAATTGTAAGACCACAATACATTATTCAACCAATAAAAAAGCAATCTATACTGCGACATCTATAATGAGGATCCTAGTGGAGTCATTGTCAGGCTGGGCGGCAGTCTATAACCTTTTAATATACATGGGAAATTGTTACTGACAGTCAAGAAAATGATGTATTGCTGGGTCCCTCTGTGGTCTTTATTTGCTATGCAGAAATCCGGCCCTTATATAAAGTAATTACCTAAACACTGCGTATCCAATCAGTTACCTAGATAAGTTTGTGTCCAATCATGCAGGCCCTTGTTTTATATAGGTGGTAAATCTTAAAGGCTTGGATACTCTTGATGTTCGTTGCTTCTGGCATATACAGGTGACGCAGTTTGGAAGGACTTCAATAGCAAGTTATATAACCAGATTGTATGAAGTAATGCACAGCTTTCAACTGTCCATCACTGGAGGCACTCTTTCTTTTTTAGAATCATTTTCCTCCTAAATTGTTCCTTTTTTTTTGGTCTGATGTATAGAGCTCTATAAAATGTACTACTTACCTACCAAACATTCTATACTGCATTAATTCATTCACCCAACCAATAAAGTCAGAAAATGTAACAGTGAAAAAAAACAATCCTTTTCTGCATAATAATAATTCTTCATGGTCCACGTTACTGTCAATTCTTCGTGGTCCACATTACAGTAAATTCTTCATGGTCCACATTACTGTCAATTCTTTGTGTTCTGCATTACTGTAAATTCTTCATGGTCCACATTACTGTAAATTCTTCATGGTCCACATTACTGTCAATTCTTTGTGTTCTGCATTACTGTCAATTCTTCATGGTCCACATTACTGTAAATTCTTCATGGTCCACATTAATGTAAATTCTTCATGGTCCACGTTACAGTCAATTCTTCATGGTCCACATAACTGTGGGTGTAGCATAGGGCTAAAAGGTATCTTTCCTCATCTCATCTCATCTCATATCCTTATTTCTGTGTTTAATAAATGTGATTAGACTTTCTTCTAAATGAAAAATGTACTAGGTAGATACAGATTCTTGTATGGTGCATCATGTAATATGTTTCTGTTGGTAAATGTCTTATTATTAGTATTTTTTTGTACTCTTTAGGATTTTCGTGCTGGGGATTGGATTTTTCACCCTGTGCTTCTTGATGACCTCGCTGGGCGGCCAGTTTTCAGCCAAACGACTGGCAGACTCTCCATTTACCATCCGGACTGAAGGTTGGTGTTTTATATTGGCATATGACATATATATCACCTCCAGAGATATCCGTGACTTTTATGGAAGAGAACACATAGATAGAAAATAAGGTACATGTTATGTAGCAAGAATATTAAACGTGCCAATGCACATATACTGTACATAAAATGCAATTCATATGGCAGGGGACACGTTATGAAAGTTCAGATTTTGGATCCAACAAGAATGTATTTATGTCAAGTTTTGTAGATAAAGTAATCATATTGTGCAAATATTGTCTTTCTTTTAGATTAATACGTTTTTAAGATGCTGCTTTATATCTCATATATATCTACATATATGAGATATATATCTCTACATATAGATATATATCTATAAATATAGATATATACACTGAGTGGCCAGATTATTATGACAAGTTGCATCATGCAGATAACAGAGTGAGAATTTGGCGGGAAGAGCATGGAAGCATGCACCCCACATGCATGAGTACAACCCTTCAAGCTGGTGGGGGCAGTGTTATGGTTTGGGGCATGTTTTCCTGGCATGATTTGGGCCCTTTAATTCGTGTGGAACAACGTCTGAATAGCACAACATACCAAAGTATCGTTGCTGATCAAGTTCATCCTAAAGTTCATCCTATCATGTTGATGGCGTATCCTAATGGAGATGGCTTCTTCCAACAAGATAATGCGCAATGCCACATTGTTCGTATTGTGCAGGAGTGGTTTCAAGAACATGAGGGAGACTTTACCTTGTTTAGGTGGCCCCCCCAATCACCAGATCTCAATCCAATTGAGCATTTGTGGGACGAAGTTGAAAGAGCCATCAGGCAGCTGGTTCCACAACCATCAAATCTCACAGAACTGGACAGTACTACAGTATTGGCATGGTATCAGATTCCTTGCATCATCTTTCAACATCCCGTGGAGTCAATGCCAAGAAGAATCGTCGCAGTATTGAAGGCAAAAGGTGGCCCAACGAAGTACTGATGGGGTGGTCATAATAATCTGGCCACTCAGTGTATCTATATATTATATAATCTATCCCAAAATCGTAAGTAACAGACGGGAGTTAGAAGCATTGATCGAGGAATCCCCGTTGTTTCTTTTGTATTCTGAGAGTGGCCGCCAGTCTCTGTCAGAACAAACCCGAACAGTGCCAGTAGCTCATTGGCGGCCCGCTCTGTTTGTTCAAAGGTTTCTCGATTGGCTCCTTTGGTCAGCTGATCGAGGGAATCCCATCCGAAAGGGTACCAACAGCGGCACCCACTGTGCAAATTTTAGCCGGTTCCTAAAGCAGCGGCTGAAATTCGAATATTGTATTGCCAGCTTTACTTACACTCCACTCATGCTGACACCGGGCTACCTGCCACTGTGTCAACCAACACAGAAGCTCCATGGTGCAGCATGGAGGTCAGTCTCAGGATCCGAGTTAGAGTGTTTACTGTACTACCAAAGTTTGATTCTGATAATGTCACTACAACACTACTGTATGCATTGGATTGCGGTTCACTCTGTAATTAATGAGGGCGAGCATGTAGGACACAGTTTGGGTACCAAGGCAGTAGAGCGTGTACAGATTATACTAATATTACAGATTTTATGCACAGAAAATATATAGTCAGAGTTAACGTGAGAAATATAGGTAGGATAGATTACATAGAAAACAGCAAGCAAGATCACACACATGCACAATAGTGACGGGTCTGTACTGTCACTACTGCACATGTGCAGGATCTCACCACCATATTGTGATGTCAGAAATACGGTGTCAAGCGTAAGGACTTGCACGGTAGTGGAAGCACAGACCAGTCACTTCTGCGCTTGTGCTCGCTGCCACATTTCTTACATCACATTATGGTGGCAATATACTGTGCGGTAACAGAAATGGTGGCAGGAAGCAAGAGAGACATGGAGATAGAGTAAAATTGAAGAAGCAGATGTACAGCAAAGGAGAAGACAGTAGTAGAGAGAGGGAAGGGTAGGAAGAGTAGAGAAAAAGAGACTGGAGTACAGATAGAGGAAGGCAGTTAAAGAGATAGAGGATAGCATACAGAGAAAGACAGAGGCAAACGTATTGAGAGGGAAGCAGGATTAGAGAGAAAGAGGAAGGAAGTAGTACTGAGAGAGAGGCAGCAAGTAGTCATAGTAAGGAATATTGTTTACATTCTATGTTAAACGCATGCACAGTGGAAGTGGGGGCACACGCAGTAACAGAATCACACCAGCAATATGGCAGCGGTTTCCCATGCATGCACAGTAGTTTATTATTTCGTATACACTGAAGATCCATTTAAGCGTAACACCGTCTCTTCCCCTCTACAGTAGGAACTCTCACGGGGCCTCCATAACCCACTGCTGGCAAATACCCTCTGTTTTTACTGCTTTGCTCGCCCACAACTATTACAGCATGCGCTCTGTGCCAGCTAAAAGTAATTTAAGTAGATCCCATCGCACTCCTGACCGGTTATAACCCAAGATAATGGGTGGGTGCTGAGATGACAGCAGATGCCTCTGCAGATCAGTATGACATGGTAGAAAAGTTACTCGCACTCCAATAAGAATTTCAGTCAATGTTCTTTATTGACAAAAGAATTGTCACATCGTATAGTGACATTTCGGAACCGTTTAGGTCCCTTCTACAGGCAAACAAAGTGTGAAGAAGGGACCTATACGGTTACGAAACGTCGCTATACAAGTGACAATTCTTTTGTCAATCAAGAACATTGACTGAAATTCTGATTGGAGTGCGAGAGACTTTTCTACCACGTGATACTGTGCCAGTTAAATTCTGCTCACATAGCCAAGCAAATGCACTAGGCTCATTGTAAGAACCTACCAAAGAGAATAATGGAAGTCCCTCAATACAGATTAAAGGCTACTGAATCTCCATACAGGCACAGCAGCATCAAAAGGACAGTAAGGGCCTGCTCACTGCCACTACCCTCCACTGCACTGATATGCACTCTTGCACTGGATGTGCACTTGCCGCTATAGCATGGGATGTGCACTCACACTTGCTGCCACTGCATGGGCTGTGCACTCTTACACAGAGCCACTGCACCAGACTTGCACTTCTACACTCACCGCCACTCCACATGATATGCACTCATATACTTGCTGCCGCTATTCGATCTTACACTCATTGCCACTGCACCCGACATGTACTATTTAACTTTCTAGCACTGCAGCCGAGACTCTGTCTCTGACGTGCACTCTTACACTTGCTGCAAATGCACATGACTCGTCTAGCACTCTTACAGGATTAGAGCATCACCAATGCTTCTCCTAGTGAACACCAGCGGCCGTGCTGACTCTAATGTTGTAATTTGCAATGAACAGTGATCATTAGCAGGCCAGAGAGAATGTAATTACTGAAATTGCTAAATGTAGCAACCTCTCACCATTTGAACATCCAGAATTAGGTTTGGTTGGAGTCAGTCAAACCCTCCCTGACTCTTTTCTCACTTACTGTAGATAAAGCTACACCCATTTTGTCTATCTTCTCCCCTCTGGGGCAAAAAAAGGCTATTGTGCCAGTGCATGTGTTTTAGAGAGATATGTAATGTACATTGCGTGTTTGATCACTGCAGAAAGGACTATTGTAAATTGTCACATGATTGGCCTGGAACATCTGTTTAATTTGTTTTGTAACCAGTCTGGAATGTCTTTGGGAAATAAAGAAACTTAATTTATGATTAAAGTTCATTAAAATTAGTATAATTACTTAGACCCTACTCAGAGTGGAATCTGACAGCTTTCTAGTGATGTTAATTCACACAAAATATGAGCCATCTCCGAGTGTATTTGTAATGAGAATCAAAAGTATTTTAGTTATACATGGCGACTGGTGGACTGAGAATGCCCCTGGCTTCTTCTATGTCCCCTGGTGCCCAACTTGTGGCCTGAGGGTCTCATATGGCTCTTTGGTACCATCAATCTGTATTGGGAATGAGAGCATTACTTTGTAAAGTGGTAATAGCAATGATTTCTTCTAGCCTCATGTAATATCTCCCAAGTCTCTCACTGTCTTCTTCAGCATGTCTCCAACCAAACCTTTAGCACGTCCACAGTCTCTGACCATAATTTCCTCTATTATGCCTGCAGTCTATTCAAACAGTAAGATCTCCCTAATTTCTGAAATCCACCTGTTCCTGTCCTCCTGGGAGGATTGAAAATTCCCACCCACCATTGGATGCTTAAAAACCTTCTGTTGTTTGCCCGTCCCCGGAACACTCTGCCTCATTACCCCCGTTGTCCCGCTGAGAGCACCTTTGCATCCTCAGCGTCAAAAAAGCTCTATTGACTGACTGGCTATCTGCCACTCCAACAAATATGTCAGGATTCAAGATGGTGCTTCACAGACTGATGCTATTGGATAAATTAGATACGAAATTTAATATGCATCGTACTACAGTATTTTTTGACACGTGGTTTGACCTCAGAACTACCCCATGAACAACTGCGTGATGTTATGTACATCGTCCAAAATTCCACCTGGTTCCTCAACGCCAAACTCACCAATACACTAGGTGCTCTTAACGTCCTTTGACACTTTCCATATCATCAATCACTCACGTGCATATTCGGTCCCCTGAGACGAGACGAATTGCTATTGTAACTCTTATCCCCTGAACATCCTTATCCTTATCATTGACCAACAACTTTTTACTTATCAACTGCAGATCACTTGCTTGGTGGACTTTGTGAATTTATATACACATAGAGCTGATATTAGTCATAATCAATATTATCTGTTAGAAGTTTTTACTATTACCTATGGTTTATTTCATACTTTGTTCTCTTTTAAGTGATATCTAAACCTACGCTTGGTAGGCTGTCATTAATGTCATTAATGCCATTACTGCTTAGTTCTACTGTTTAACCACAAAACATATTGTAATCTACTGTAAATTACCTTATGTTATGTAGTTTTGCCAAATAAAAAATTGACATGCAAAAAACCCCCCCCAAAAACCTTCTGTTGTAATCCCAAAATATGAATTAAAAAATCCAAC